TGCATGATTCTGCTTCCTTCCTTGTGAGCTGAATTGCATACGAATGAAGATTTTAACTGGTATGGGGTGTTGAAGGTCAAGTCTTGTTAACGAAGAATAAAATTCTATAAACAATTTTGGAGTTCTATAAAACATTTATAAACTTTGATTGCTTTGCACACAAATTTAAAATGACGCTGAGAAAATACAAAGATCGTCAGACCCAAAATAACCAAATTTTACAGTCTTGCAAAGACTCTATAGATTCATCATCTGCGTTTTCAAGAAGCAGAGCTTCTCCTGATGGATGGTATGAGCTGTTTGAACCCAGAGACCGTGGAATCTTGGGAGGGTAGTGAGGCCATGTATGGGGGTTAGGCTGCAAGCCAGAGGAGACAGAGTCTGTGTGTCTGTGTGTGTGAAAGAGAGAGGCCAAACAGGCCATGCAAACACACAGGCTATAGGAGGGTTGGGTGGCAGATGTGCTGTCCGCTTTGGGCTGATGAAGAAAAACAGTTAAAAACAGTTGAAACTTTGGGGCTCAATCCAATATGTGCTGCTGCAGAGCGTCTGAACCGAATGACTTGTGCTTAGATAGGTGGGGTTCTCAAAAAGTAGGTCATCCAAAAAGGGCGGGCGTGCGTTTAACCTCTGAGATGCAACATGCTTTCTGTGTTGCGTAGCCCGAATCTTCTGCATCCTGCCTGTAACAAAATAAATGACCATTTATAAATTAACATCATAAATTAAAGTAAGAGCATCTAGTGTTGGTGCTTTATTCTCACCATTTCTGTCCTGGAATGAGACACAATTACTCAGCGTTTTGACTAAGTTACATAAATTCTCAGAGGCACCGTCACATGAGTTGAGACTGTAAGAGCAAACAGCTCGCCTCCACACTAACGACTCATACAGAAGGATGGAAAAATGTTCACAATATTCACACCAGTCTGTACTGAATATGCAACGTAGTGCAAGAAAGGATAAATGCACATTGTCTTACACTGAACAGTTTACTAGCAAATACTAGCACACAACTAAAACAACGGTACACCAGATGGCCTATACTCTTGGTTTAACTATATTAGTGATAAACTGTAAACTATG